ATTTATTCTAGAACACTTTGGTACAACGTGAATAATAAATTTGTTAAGAAGTTATCATTTTTGTCGAGCTACTAATAACAGATCTCTAATAACAAAACTGAATTTGTCTAATAAGAACTATAGTTATGTAGTCACTATTTTTATGTAACAGGTTACTCAATTGTTTGTTATTTGTTACTCAAAACTTTTTTCAGTGTGATTGCTAACGATTCGACATTCCTTAAGTTTGTTATGCACGCTTTTTTTTAAGGGGGGAATCATCGAATGACTGCTCCCGCCTGGGTGAGGCGGGAGGGAGTGTCAGACTCTTACTGACTAAAAACCACCCCGTTCCTTCTCCTGCACGTCGAGTCGGAGCCCCGGTTACCCGTTAGGTTCTCCGCGAAACACCTTACGATTTAACTGTGAAGTTCTAACTGAAGGTGTGTAGGATGTATGGATCTGCCTGCCTGCAGTCCTGTACAATTAAAACTGGACAATGAAAATGGTGTGTAGCCTGCATTATTCTGAGAATGTACCTAGAGGTATAGGAATGTAATCAAACTAAACTAGGTACACAGTATCCTACTCGTTTAATGTGATTTCTTTTTTATTTTTACACTGTATAAAAGAACCTTACCTGATTTTGTATCTGAGCAATAAATAAATAAAAGACCTTACAGTATGTAGTGTCTGCAGTGGCACATCAAAACCGGTAGGTACCTAAACTTAAGATGAATTTTTGCCCGTTCTCCAATTTTAAGTAATGTAATTATGTAGTTTTATGATTACATTACTTCAGTTTCAGTTGATTAACTGAAATACGAAACAGTGAGTAAAGTGCCGTTTTTACACACATTTACATCGTTATCGATTTCTTACTTAATATGTAGTACCTAAGTAAATTTGTTTACCAAAGTATTGCTTTAGACAATCCAGACTTATATAGTTTCTAAACCTTACAGATTTTCCTTTCTCCCCAGAGAATAGATTTTATCTCAAGATAATTAAATTAGCTCAGTAACGATACAATTGGGTGCGTTTCCCAGGTTCCAGTTTACTACGTAATTATAGTGTTATTAAAATTTCGTAATTCAGTAATTATAGCGATTATTTCAGTTGAGTCATTATAAGTATATATCTTGAGACGACATAACAGAGCACACTGCTGGACTATCGACTCCCTCTACAGGAGGTATAGGAGTTAGAGGTCACAGCTCATTAGCGAGAGCTTGTTGGCTCTTACGATACCTGCGAACCAGCGAAGACGCGACAGGAGTAGAGGTGATAATAATAATAATAATAAGCCCGCAGGGCACCTTGAGGCGAGGTGACGGGCATTAGCGATCCCGCGGGCTACCATCATCCCGAGTGCTCCAGGGAGAAGTCACCGTTCCTTCTTCTCCGGCTTGCCTTAATTGGCTGGCTGGAGTGAACGATGACAAGGAACAGGTCTCCCACCTCTGGCTTGCCTTCATTGGCCGTCCAGAGTGGAGTCGCGAGAGCAGTGATCCTGCTCGGAGGGTAAGAAACTATTCGTAAGTCGCGAGTGGGCCAGGGATGCAGGAGGCTTCGGCTGGAGCAGATGATCTGAGTAGAAAGCGGTGGTAGTTTCTTAACCCTTCAGCCACTCACATTCTCGTTGCCCCTCTGTTGCTATATCTAGCAACCATTCCCGGGGCCCGGTCGGTGAGTTGGCGAGTCTCCGCCTGCCATTTTTACGTGTAAAAATTACATTGTTTTGGCAGGTGCCATAGTCATCCATAGTTCCCAATTTACCAGTCCACAGCAACCCATCCATAGCCCTACCTTTTTTTTTCCATTATTCACAATAGTCCTACACTAACCGGGGACTGTCCTTGGGTGCATTTTCATAGTGCATACAGGGTTAGTCGCCGGTTTGTGTGTCCATTACATTTAGATTAAAGTTGTCTAAAGGGCCTCTGCGCAGTTGGCTTCGGCCCCTCGCACGCCTCCCAAATGACCGGGACCCTGTGGTCCCGTGAATGGTAAAGACATACATAATAATAATAATAAATAAGCTTTATTGTACACCAAGTAAGTAATTACACATATTCGGATATTATAAAGAATAAGGAGGGTACAAGGGCGGCCTTATCGCTAAAAGCGATATCTACCAGGCAACCTTTAGGTGATGTCAAAACTCAAATGAGTACTCTACGTTCAATACAGTGCCAACTACACTGTTAGTGTAGTGAGTTTATTTTTTTTTTATGGAATAGGAGGCAAACAAGCAGACTGAAGGATCACCTGATAGTAAGCAATCAGCGCCGCCCATAGACACCCGCAACACCAGAAGAGTCAGGTGTGGTTCCGGCCTTTTAAAAAGGAATACACTCTTTTCTTGAAGGTCGTATCGGTTCGGAAATACCGCCGGCGACAGATCATTCCACAATTTTGCTGTGCGAGGCAGAAAGCTACTATTTCCATAAAGGATCAATGAAAGACAATAAGTAAGAATCAAAGCAGTTGCCGCTCTGTATTTTTTGGCTACCTACACGGCAGAGGCGTGAGTTTGTAGGTACAAATTTGTATGATCAAGGACTAACCATCATCTTCGTTGCAAGCATGCAAGCTTATTGATCGAACAGTAGCAATCACGTCTGCTGAGCAAAGAAGACTCTTTGGCGTGGAGACCCAAGCCGATCCTGATATCGAGCGCAACATTATATATTGTTTTATCGCGCTATGCAATAATCCATTAGAAGTAACACAGGACGCAAATACAAATTGATGTCGAATAAGTATCGAAAAAGAGATAGGTATATAAGATAGTTTCCTACAAATTGTAAGTTATGACATCAAGTAGCTTTTTTTTAATAGGGGGAATCCTTATTGACTGCCTCCACCTGGGGAAAGGCGGAGGGGTGTGCTGGACTCTTACCGACTAAAACAACCCCAGTGTCTCCTCACACATGCGGGTGGCAAAATTCATCCGCAGTGACATCACAAATAGCTAACTTAAGTTAGCTAAATTAATTACATCAATCAATTATCGAAGATGTTGTTACTTTGGAATATTTTTTACTGCAAAAACACGAAATTCAACTGTGATACTGATGCAATATTGGAATTAATTTTTGCTTAAAACATAACTGGTGAAACTGGACATTATGTTCAACACTTTGGCCTAATTTATACATATTTATGTATGTTGCATCAAGATTCTACAGCAACAAGAGATTGTGTTTTAAAAGAACCAGATGTGCATTAAATGCATTTAATTTTATACTGAAACAAGTGACTGTTTACAGAAAACAAGAAAATAAACTTCAACTGACCTGCACTTCTTTATTAATATCACTATAACTGCTGATGTTGTAGCATATCTCCGGACTGTAGCCATGGTTTACCGTGCAAGCTTGGAACACATAGAATGTTTGCTCTATCACATTTGTGATCATATATGCCATCATGTAGAGGAACATTGGCGGTTCTACTGTTACATATTTGTACCATGGTTTCCTCCTGTCCACCTGTAATTAAACAATATTAGTATGAAATGTAAAATTGAATTTTAATTTAAAGATCAATTTTTTTATACTATAGTGCTAGAACATTGTAGCATATTCATAAAGCCAAAAATCTATACTATGTATTATTCCTGTAGGCACCTTTTCAAACAGCAAAAAGTTTAATGCCATATTTTCATCTGTATGATTTAATATTCCGTGTATCGGTATGACAAACTGTATTTTGTGTGATGTTTATAATTAACAAACAGTAAGATTAAAATCATTTTATCTCAAGTGCTGTGATTAAATAAACAATCAAATGTTATCTTTATTGCAGTAAATACGAAAGAAACTTGCTGCACAAGGACATACATAAACTTACCGAGACCACAAAAAATGATTTATTTTGACCATTTATCAAATATTTGATTCAAAAATTTTTAATATATAATTTAAAAAATAATAATAGTTTGACAGTAACAATTTTATTGCATGATAGACAAAAACAATTCTACGACAAATAAATCTTTGGCAGCCTTGATACTGACCAATTATTTACCCGAAAGGTCAAGATATGGAGATAAGTTAACAACAAATGTTAGTCTCATATGGCACACTCAAGTAAGATTTTATTTACTCATGATTGCATCAAAGAGGTCTTATCAAAAAAAAAAACGGCGTGCAAATACGGATAAAGAGTGCACTGTGCATGTTCACGTGTATTGGTTATGTTTACCATTCTAGTTAGCATAAGTAAAAATGTATATAATGTGAATTATAACTACATACAGTCGCTGAAGCTTGCAAATAAATTATAGACCATAACACTTTCTTAAAACATAAAAAAGCGAAAGTCGTTAACTATTACGAAACTAAAGCACATTTTTTAATTTTCTAAAACGTTTTCTATTCGCAAGCGTTTTATGGTTACATAAGTTAGATGCTTCCTGTATATTCTATTACATAATAGAACAGTTATATTTCGAACACTTGCTAGCTAAATACTATAATTTTTTTGTTTACTTACCACACACATTTCGTCGTCTTTATTTATGGAAGACATATTTAATTACTTTAACTTATATTGGTTTTACACTACGGCATAAAATAGCTTGTTTTATTTTTAGTATTTATTATTACACTTTTTATTTATTTTATAACATATTTCTTTTACGTCGTTTCAAACACTTGCCGGTCGCCTACACGATAACAGCAATCATTATTTTGCCGCGCCGCCAAAACAATGTGCCAGAGATGCAGATGCCTTCTGACAAGTATTCGAATTTGGCAGCTGTCAGTGTCACGTGTGTAAGTTGGGGTTAGGGTTGCCAAGAAGCGGAAAATTTATAATTTTTTTCAGCGCACAACACTGAGGAATGGAAAATTTTAAAAGTTAGAAGCTTAGATTGTTTAAAACTATACATAGTTTCAGCAATGTGCATGACAAATTTTTTTAAATAAGTTTCCCTAAATTAATATCCTTTATTCATAATTTTCTCACCATAAAAGAGACAAAACAATAATCATTAACTTAGGAGACCATCACGGCATTATGTTGTGATATTATTACAACTATACTAAGGTTTCTGGATACATTTTACAACCAGTTTTACTGGTTGTAGATCGCCAGTATTAGGGTGATTTTGAAAATATTACTATGGTGTAAGTATTTATTTATTCCTTAAACAGGCCAGTGTTACAGCTTCACAGTTAAACAGGACACACAGTAATATAACTCGATGCAAGAAGCCCATAGCAAATGGGACCACCCAAATCTCCGAAAAAAAAAATGTTTCGGTTTATGCGTCAAACACTCTGTTTATTACCCTACGAAATAAGGATTTTTTTAAGGGTTGAAAATCATCGAACGTCTGCTCCCGCCTCGGCGAGGCGGGAGGGAGTGTCAGACTCTTACTGACTAAAAACCACCCCGTTCCTTGTTCTGCACGTCGAGCCGGAGCCCCGGTAACCCGTTAGGTTCTCCGCGACTACTGTATGCCATGGCCTTATGACTATAGCAAATTGTTGTTAATTGAATTATTTCATCGCTATTTTATTGAAACCTATCAAAAAGTATTGTCCTTGTGTTGCGAACCAAGATTTAAATAATTATTGGTTTTGTCACTCATAATACATACCTAAAAGCAAGATGATATGAGATAATGAGAGTTAAGGATCTACTACTAAAAGGAAAATCCCAAATACTCAGTACTATCCGCATAACTGAGCTTTTTCGAAAACATGGCTTACGGTAAACTCATACACGTAACTGCTGGGCAGTGTGACAGAGGTATTGATACCTACATATGTACTCACTTGTCGTAGGTATTGCAGGTATTAATAGCTCTGCCACAGGTACACACTATCTCACATTGTTTTTGTTCTAAAGTTTGATACAACCGCCTTTCTGGCTTGCAAGCAGTAAGAGAGTTTATAAGAAAAACTCTATCAACTGTCAAGGTCAAGCAGATATGACAAAAATCTACAATGTATTGACGTAGTTCGTTATATATTTCAAACTGTTTATTATTATTATGGTACATAAGGGAGTAACTGGTGCTTGGTGCACTCTTCTGTATAGTGATGTGATGCACAGGTTCTCGAGTCTAAAGTGAAACAGTTCTCGAAGCTATTATGGTAGAAAGTGTACTGAACAAGTATTGCCTGGTATCAAAAGTATGCTGTTTCTGTGTCTCACTAAGGAATGGATGTATACTGATAGCCTTGGCAGGATTTATACCATGTTTATACCTGTTCATGGTGTACGCCTCAGGCGATGCGACGTTGCTAAATAATGGAGTGAATGAAGTGGTTATTGAGATCTTTCTGCATATTTACGCTATACTGGGATTAGTTTTGTGTGGAATGAACATTATACTCTTTGTTGGCGCAATAACGTTCAACGAAAAGTTGATATTAAATTACTTAAGGTTCGCCTGCGTTTACTTCATTGTGGATTTCGCCAGTGTACTCGTTATATGCATTTCTGCAACGTTGAGTGGTTATTTACCGTTCGCTGGGATATTTTTTCTAGTAGATGTTTGTTATTGGGCTTTAGTATACTTCTACATTTTACCAGTCGTGAATGGATTTAGAAAAAAAATACACACCATTGTCATTTATGTGAATTAAATTATATTTATTGATGTAATACAAGTTAGTTTCATTTAGAAGATAAATAGGTATAAATATATACTTACCTACTTACCTACCTATACCTACCCTGAGTATTTACGATTCACGTTACAGATGTTGATAATTTCAAAACGTTTCAAGGAAATGACGTAGAGGACATAAAGCAAAACTTGCTTTGCTCATTTTTATTTCTATTTATAAAATTAAAAAATGAAATAATCTAATTTCAAGGTTTTGCTGTTAATTTTGCTCGCATTAGTGGTTTTTATTAGTAGTCCATTGTTAGTAACGATTATGAAAAACTACGAATAGTTCGAGCAATGTTCATGGCTAATCTATACTTCTATACTAATATTATAAAGAGGAAAGATTTGTTTGTTTGTTTGTTTGTAATGAATAGGCTCCGAAACTACTGGACCGATTTAAAAAATTCTTTCACCTCTGGAAAGCTACATTATCCCCGAGTAACATAGGCTACATTTCATTTTGAAAAAAAAAAATTTTCTACCCCGTGCGAAGCCGGGACGGACTGCTAGTTTTTTATAAAGAAGTTTCAGAAAAGTAATTTTGATACACTCACGACAAAAGAGGATAAAACCATAATAACTAACTTAGGTGACTATCACGACATTACGTTGTGATAGGCATTATTACAATAACACTAACTTTTCTGGATAGGTACATTTTACAACCAGTTTTGCTGGCTGTAGATCGGCACTATTCGGCTGATTTTGAAAATATTGCTAGTGAGTAGGTATTTGATTGTTCCTCGAACAGGGCCTGTGTTACAAAATTACAGTCACATAGGACATGTAGTAACTCGTAAAACATATCCAACATGTAGACTGTGTAATGGTGTAATGTACTTTAGCTTACTTTTATTTCTTTCAACAGGCAGGCAAAGCAATGTGTATTTGGATAACAGATAGATTACTTACTTTTGGGTGTTACATTGTACAGTGGCGTAATGTACACCTCTGCCTACCCCTTCGGAGATAAAAGGCGTGATGTTATGTATAGTTTACTTAAGTAATTTAGTTGTGCTGTATTGCCTGTATAATTACGTAAGTAGGTAGTTTGTTTGGGCATAGTGTGCACTGAACTACTTTATATTGACTACAGTACCAATACTGTAAGGTTTTGTCATCAATTACTTAAGTATTTACAATTTACGTTCATAGGTTACATTATACCTAATTGCCGATTTCAATAACCAGTCGCAACTGACAACATTTCAAAACTGATACGATCGTAAAACAAAAATACCATTTCTTTATTTTCGTATCCTGAGTTCAAATACAGTTTTTAATTTTTTTTTTATTTCTCGAAATCTATACAATTTGATCAACTTTTGACATTTAGTTCTATAATTTTTCTGGCAAAAATCAAGATCTCTCCGTAGTTTTCGAAAAGATTGAAAAGATCGGGTATAAAAATCGACAGTAAAAGTTACAATTCAGTAATTACTTACATAAATTAACTGACTAGAACCATGAGAATGCTACCTTAAATGGACGTATAATTTGTGGTATAACTTGGTACTAACTTACCTACCTACATTTAATCTTATAAACGTTATTTACTCTTAGGATTACGATATAGCTATTTACATATTCATCCCTTTTTATAGTATGCATCGCCTGTTGACCTGATGGTAAGTTATCAACCCACAACACCAGAGGAGGTGCAGACACGTTACCAGTTGCCGGCCTTTTAAAAAGGAGTAGATAGTCTCTCTTTCCTGACAAGCCTACCATGAAGCAGGCAACAAGAAGGTTATAAATTCACACGTGTGTTTCTTAATTACATTATTGTGTGTGAAGTTTTGGTCCGTACCTCGATGATGGACGATAAATTAATGTGCTTAAGTTACAATAATTCTTATTTGCAGACAGATGTGGCTCACATTGAAGTGTACATGAGTATTCGCGATAGAACGGAGTACATATCATCTAAGGAGGTAGTGGTAGGGAATAGTAAGTGCTCTAGTGTTTCTTTGTTCGCTGTACAACATATGCTGGGTAGCAACAGCATGACTTTTCCGAACCGCGTGGAATCTTTGGCTGCACAATGCTTCTGTAGTAACATCAAGAACTGATCTTGCAGCATCTCCATGTGAGCAGATGGATTTTCCGTTGTGTCTGTGACAATAGGCAAATATTTGTTATTAATTGTTTTCTAAGATGGGGTGATGTTGACGTGAACTTATCGATTGAAACTAGTAAGTGACAGTCTGCCCTTTCAAGAAATAAATATTATGGTTCAACCCTTAAACTGTCAAACACCAAGCGGTCACCGGTGACCGCAACCTATTGTTCTATAATTGTGTCTACAAAACCGGTACTCGACGAGTTAACTTATGTATGTAAGAATTCAGCCTAATATAGCAGTAAACAAGTAACTTGAATGGTACAGACTAGAATATTTTATGATGATTTAATGGTGCTAATTCATATTCATTGAATCGTAGACTATTTATAAATACTAAACGCACGAACGACATCTGATAACAATGCTAAGTGATGAAGGTGATAAATTACTTACCTGTGCGAAACAACAAGGTGGATTTCAACCAGTCGTATTCGGATCTATCTAGCCTGCACTGAGATAATTTTTTCAACAGATAAGTTAACTTTTTGAGATCCTCCTTGATCTGAGGCCACTTTAGTGCAATGGTGGAGACATCATAATCTGAAAATTACCACGTTTATGATTTTTGTACAAAAAGTTACTTTTGTATCTGGTAGTTACCAGATTTAACTTTTTTTTTAATACATTACCTTCTTCGAAGTAAAATGAATATTCCGCTGCTGTAAGAATAAACAGTTCTTTCCATTTACTACGTAATAAACTTATTTGTTCGGAGGGTTTCATATGAACGAATGTGCCAACCCCATGTAGCCATTTTATCGAAGTCACTAAGATCTTCGCAGCCGGGGCGTAGACTTCTTCGTCAAGTTTCCAAGTATCAAAACAATACTTTTTTAATTTTGTTGTCATCTCTGAGATGCCATCCAAACTTGCCTTGTTGTTGTCTACAACGTGCATTGCTTTGTGACGGTCATTCAGGTAATCGACGAATGTATACGGTTTGTAGTCTACACCTTGAGTACGCTTTTCTGATATTTTTGATACTATGTGCACTGGTGGTTCAAAGTTTATAGGAGAATGTAGCGAAGTTTTTCTCGTATCTATGAACAAATAATATCATTGTGGATAAAAGGAGTGCAGTTTATTGTCTTTCCAGTCCGGGATTGAAACAGAAATCAATAGATATAGGTAACTTTGCTGTCGCTTAAGTACAAGTTAATAGCGCAGGCAATTCAGATGATAGTCGCAGCGCAAGCACAGCACTAAGTTACATATCAATTTGCGCTAACAATGAAAGGAACTCACCTTCTTTCAAAATTGTTTCTACTTGGCAATCAGATTTGCAAGCTTCCTCAGAACTAGATACTTCATCTTCTTTAATTTTTTCAGAGAGTTGTGAATCTGGTTGTTCTGTAGAATTAAAATATAATTTTACCACATTTTAGTAATTCTACTGAATGTTACTGAAACGTTCTACTTACTTTCCAAAGTATTTGTCGAAGCAGATGATGTTACGACTGATGGATATAAAATATTAGACGGGATATAAGCGGGGTGTGGAACTGGATAATGAAGTGACGCTGAAAACAATGGAATCTTAAATGGATTGAGTGGACTGAGTGCACTGACATGGGTGCTAAGAAGTGGGCTTATTTGAGGGCCATCTGCCGACATTGTATCCGGAAGCCTCGATGGGGGGAAGTCTTGAAACGAAGATCTATCCAGAAAGGAATTGTGTACGGTAGCGTCGGGGAGGGCGGACACTAAGCCATTATATGTGTGGAGAGGCGGAAAAGTGGACAGAGTCAGAGGGGTCGGACTTGGAATGAAAGGTTGCTGTCGCGTGAAGTTGTACCCGAGCTTCTGTAGCGCCATGTGGTGTTGGGCGGCTACCGACGGACGAGGAGCGCGCTCGTGTTGTACCGCTGCAAACACGACAAAATCCATTTTATATGTATTTACTTTTACATATGTAATTTTCTATTTTTTATCTGTACCTTTATATTTACACATTGAAGAAATTGTTTAAATTTTATCTAGCTAAATTATATCAAAATTGAAATGTCTATCTCAACTTGATCTCAACTCAATCAGAATCACAACTAAGTATCAAATATTTACAATCCTAAAGCATACTAACTGTTTTATAAGTGTCGTTAAGTAAACTAAGAAATCATAATGCATGAACATCGGAAATCTGATGGCTAGAATAATAAGTGTTGAGCAAACAACGTTGTTATAGGGGTGAGAGTGAAGTCGGCACGGTCGCTGACGGCCGCGGTCGTCACCACTCGCTAGCAATCAGTGGTGGCGCGGCTTGCACTCCATTCCGTATGTAAATAAATATCTGTGTGAACCACGGCTGCTGTTGACAACTTGGCATCATGATACAATGTTTACTTTTCGACGCAATCTCGTTTACAGAACATTAAATGCGTCTCGTCCTTTCCAAAATTTAATCTTGAATTTGAAAATGTTCGCCAATGGGAATGGGTAGGTAACGTTTTGGGTTTAATATTTTTTTATTCGTCACTCTGTAATTATGAAATCGACAACACGCATACTGTAGGTATCTGTTGAACACTTAAACTTATGTTGACCAGAACGGAAGAGAGCCTTATATGGTATTGTTTGGTTTCAAATTCATAATTAGGTAGGTACTGAGGTATAATAATTATTTGTTATATTTTTTCTTATAAATTCCCCATTATAATATTAAATTATTTTTAATTTAATTTAATATAATTCAATATAATTTAATATTAAATTATATTAAATTAATACTGAATTACTCCTCTATTACTTATTCTTGTATGTTCGTCGCGTTACTCACTAATGTAATGCGGATGCCACGGCCGTCGGCGGCGACCGCGCGCCGGCAGGGTCACATATTGCTTTCACGAAAACCAATGTTTCCTATGAAACTAAATATTCCATAGAGATATGAAGTTCTATGCTTTAGTAAAATATACATAAAGGTATTCAAATATTTTTTCTTATTTTCCCAAAAATGAAAAATTTAGGCACATCTTCGTCCTGGCCGCAAATCGTGTAGGAAAACAAAGTGCAAATATTATATCTCGCAAAGTGAGGTGAGTAGATGAGAGCGAGGTACATTATAACATAATAAGGTAATAACGTACAATGAAAGTCGTTACAGGTTCACGCTCTCACCAAGGTGAGAGCGTGAACCTGTATACTGAGATGAAAGGGAACATGAATGCTCCGAGGTCCCAGCCCCTGCGTTTTTTCTCACTCACCACTTACCAACACTTGTCTACCGCAAATACTTGAAATGTTTCCTAATGGAAAAGACATGCTGCGAAGGAGCCACCCTGGATAAATACTTTATTGAGACAAGTGCTCGACCGTGTTCACTATTGATTACCATTGAATATAGCTACATTTCTGCTATTTCCTTACAAATAAAATGTTCTGATTTGCGATGAATTGAAGCAAGAATAAAAGTAACTATAGTACTTAGGGGTTGAACATCAACTTAGTCAAAGTATTGCCACGCTGGTAAGTACAATACGTACAGGTATTTTAATATGTAAGTTAGATCTTTTTATTATCTTTTTTTTTAAAAACGTTGTCATATTAGGATTTTCTTCTGTGTCGTGGGCGCGTTTACAAACAAATACACAGAAACGTCACATACAGACCCGAACCGTACGGGTACAGCTCTGGTTACGTTTACATCTATGGCCATGCCTACTGCTAGAGTTACGGCTACGGTTACGCCTATAATTACACTTATGAGTAATAAGGTCACAGCTATGGCTACGGCTATTCCTTGTATTACGGCTATGCCAACTACTACGGTTACAGCTACGACTACATCTATGACTCTAGCTACGATGACGTCTACGCCTACGGCTACAGCAACGCCTCCAGCTACGGCGACTGGCTATTCCTACTACGCAATGTAGGTATGTGCGTTTCCCGCGGACCGTACAGGTCCGCATTGTTTGTGTCATTTATAAATTCTGCTTCCGATCTGGGTTGGTCATCAATTATTCACCTCACCAACGAGTCAGCAAAATGATATAGAAATAATTTTAGCTATTGAAACGTTTCCAACAATCCTTCGTTAAGTTAGTTAACATAAATTAAAAATCACTTACCATCTTTCTTCATATTGACGCGCAGGCACTTGGAAAATCGACACGCCTGGCATTGGTTACGCCTTGTCACATCCACCACACACCGTCCATTTTCTTTACACACGTAGTCCAAATTACTGGGTATAAAGTAAATGATACGTTACACTATAAACTGTAGTGAATGGCCAGTCCATTACGCAAGAACTATTATTTCATGTAAAAATTCCACTTTAACGCTTTGTTTGTAGAAAATAGGTATTAAGTATTGATTGCATTAATAGTTTAGTATCTAGTATAAACGGTATCTAACCGTTCATATGGTGTTGGATATTGACTTGTTACTTTATTTTTATTTACATAAAGTAAGTTAGCAAAACAAAGTTAAGAAACAAATTGATGACTCGATAAATATCTACCGTTTCTTAGTGTCTTACCCAAATGGCGATTAAATAATAACTTGAGAACTTCTTAACTTGTTGAGCTTAAATTCAATAAATTAAATGATTTATAATATACGTTTCGTGAGACATACCTACTTAATTAATTAGTATGGTTTTCAGCTTACTCACGTAATTATTTGACGAGGAACACAATTAGTTTCAAGCCATGGTAGATCTCATAATAGCAGCAGCTCATATAAAAATCGACGTCAAATCATTACGTGAGCAAGCCGAAAAACATAATAATTAAATTAAATGATTATCATTATTACACATGGTACCACGAACAACAGTACGATGGTATCACCTGAATCTATCCCGTTTCAATAAAACTCATATGAAATGAAACGAAATGAATTAATTCTTATAATTATAGACTATAAAACCACGTTCACACCATTCCATGTCAACATTTTTCACTTCTTCTTATAGTGGTCAAACGAAACAAACTTAGAGGTCCGTGTTTTTTAAAGTCCAGACAAACATAAAAAAATATATGTACATAAAACAAAATATATGTGTAGGTAATCAGTGCGAGGCGTGCGAGTTCTTTCTTTAGTGGTCTTTTGAGGAACGAACCACAATAGTCTGAGCGAATCCGTTCTGACGGCAAAGTAAACGTCGGTTTACAGCTCAACTAAAAGGTGTTGCCGACTGCTCCGACGTACAATACCAACCAAAAAACATTTGAGTGGGTCGCATAAATACTCCAATTGTTAAAGCGTAAAGTTCCTGCAGACGAGGCAGTCTCAAACGGTAGCACAAACAATTAAGTTTGTATAAGAAATATAATGTTATTGAAATTCGACCAAAATAACTTTATGAACTTCTTTATTTGGCAGTCGCACTTGAGGCACCTTAACGACCAACAAAACTCATATATAAACAAACAACATATAGAGGTAATTAAAAATAATCAGAAGGTAGTAATTATAGTTACCGTCTAATACTCCTTTTGAAGAACCCCCTGCAACCATCACATGACGCGACGCCGTAGTGTTTCCCAGAAGCTTTGTCGCCACAAACGCGACACAATGTCTCCGGCTTGGTCTCCATACCCCGAGTAACTAAATATAAATAATATATGATGATGAAGATCAGTAGGATATGTACAAAACTATTTGGGGGCTTATTAATTAATTATCTATCCATATCCATTGTATTTGTGTTTATTAGGTAACTGGATAGTAGAGGTAATGTGTATCTACCTTATTATTATATCAACAGCATTGACTGGTAATTTCCTAAACAGATTGGGGTTTGCACTAAGTTAGAGACCAGAATCCTGGTCACTGGTGCAACTTAATCTTAGATGTTTTACATAGAATAACAGACATCTGCCCTTCATAGCCCGTTAATAAGAGGAAAAGTCAAAATCATTTATTCATAAACCAATTAGGCCAGTAAAAGGCACTATTGAAAGTCAAACAAAATAAAAAGTCCTCTAGTGAAGCTATTTGCTCGTTTTAAAGTATATTACAGTAAAAACTATTCCTTTTCTTCTCCTTCAACGATTTCTTCTGCTTTAATGGAGTATCTAGTACATACATACTTGTATTCTTAGTTAGGATAGTTGTCTTATATTTTGGGCTTCGTCATTTAACAAAACTTACGTGTGAGAACTTGTGGTTTATTGCAAAGAAAGTGGCTTATGTAAGTAACAGTTATCCTCCCTACACGAAAGGTTCTTTACTTGATAATAAACTAGGGCATGGTCACAGCTGCACATGCATGTACGAACGGATGAATGTGGGTTATCAACCACATACCTAGACCAAATATCCACTTCACTCGCCCTCACCAGGCATTAAATATTTTCATCATTAATTTGGGCGGGTACCTAAGATTACCTACATATCAAAAAATAAGTTAGGAGTAACGGTACATACAGAATCATAATCAAAGCTAGCTATTACAAAATATGCATCATACTTACCGACCGTGCATGATAACGGCACGAGGCCAATCAATAAACTATATGACTTACAAAATTTTATTTAAAATATTGTTAAAAATAACAACGGTTTCTTTATAAAATATGCGGAATGTATGTGTATCATTTTCTAACACAATAACGTAATCAATTCTCTGTTAAACCCAATATGCACCCTTCTAAGGATAATGTAAAGTTTGAAAGAATTTTGCTACGTCACCGACGGCAGCCATTAATAATCGATTGATTATTCAAATAGGAAGGCCAGCGGTGTGACATCACATGTTGTAATATAAAAAAATAGCTCTTCGCTGTCAGTACAGATAAATGAGATTTTGATAGTAGATTTTTATCAAATTACCACATCATCTTTGTATCGTGTACCTAGGTACTTACATCACGTCGTCTTTTATTATCTTCTTTCACGTGGCGGTTTGTTATTTTTAGCTGGAATATTAAGGAACAAGTTGCATTGTTTTAGAAAAAAATATAAGGTTAAAAATATATTATTACCGGTTTAGGTAAAAATAAACTTAAGGAACTAGAAACAAGACCGAGTAGTGTTAGGAAAGCCGGGTCGATATTACTTGAATGTGTAGTTAACGTAGTACAATTAATTAAAACCAATAGATAAATTGAATATTGTGTGAAGGTATACCTAACCTCTTGAGGAAGTAACTAAATAAAAAGTTGTCGTCTAATAGTCTGCTGCCTCGCTCTGAAACACCTGTCAGTTCACACGAGGGGTGGAGTAATTCTTATTGGGAGCCAAGTCATTAATCGTTATGTCTTTTTCGTAACCATTTAGAAAAACAAGGTTCAAAGGAGCTAAAGTAAATTGAACATTTGTACCTGCGAGTTACGGTAACTATTACCTTTGCTAACTGCTACTTCGTAGATAACGTACCTTCTTATTTGCCATAACCGTTTATTTTAAATAACGTGTACCTAGTGCATATAATATTTAAAGCTCACAGATTCATATGTTTAGCTAAGTACCTATGTTTTATTCAAATTAGTGTAGTTGACGCAATGTTTAAAATATAAATTATCGACTTTTCCTTCAAATTAGCGACGTACACTACATTGTTGGTTCGGTAGTTAAACTATCGGCAAAACACTGACATGTTTTCGTAATTGTGGCGTGACGCGTACCTGACTACAGGTCACAATTACGCCGTATGTGCGGTGAAAATGACGGGGGACATGGTTCAATAATTATCTATGAATGATAAACGCTACATACTTTGATTGTATGTTTCCCCTCACTAATTGCTACCGAGTCGAGTAGTTAACTTTTGGCTTTCGACTTTTGTAACTAATACCTACTAGGGATGCGTGATGGCGAGAATGTATGTATTTATCTTCTTTGTAAATCACGAAAAGCAGTTTTGATTGTTAGGTACCTAACATGTTTTACTTATTAATTTATCGATTATTTCGGTTTACCTACGTTAGTTACGCGTTCTCAAATCTTTGACTTTTAATGGAGTAAATTGAAGAAACAATACTTTATTTCATTTTCAAATGCTTAACAAAAGTTTGAAAAGTTGAGGCACTCATAATATTACGATATCAAACTGTAAGTATACCTACGCATGGCCTCCTCTCATAGCTCAAACGAAAATGCAAATGAGCACGGATCACCATGCTTGCTTAAGGTAATTGGCAGAATTACAATTTCAGACTTAGGTATAAGTCTACTTATATCTAAGTTTAGATTTCCCTACGATATCTAGTTAGAGGTAAGTACAAACATTTAGGTGCTCTTAATTTTTTTATTCAATCCTCCTTTAAATGAAACTGTTATTTTACATATCGGAACTAAGGTTATTTAGAGCAAACTTATTAATCAATTAGCAATATTGAATAAGGAAATATTAAAGACCCTGGGTAATTAATGTATTTGTATAATTATAATCAAATCGAGCCATATTGCCGCCCTATGATGTGGACTAATTATCGCCACCCCACGTTTGTGTCGGATGGGTTTTTTGGGGTGTCCGACATTTGCACTGATTGACCTGGTGCTCTAGCGCAGTGAACCGATGGGTTTCGTCAAATGAACGATATGGATAAACAAAAGCCGATGGACAGTCTCATTAAACAGCAATGCAATAATTGTCAGTTGCGTTCTCTGTCCATTCTAACTTGATTTTGTTATAAGTATACCTGCGTAGAGAGCTTGGGTCAAATGAGACCAACATATTGTGAATATTTGAGGACCAAGACATCGCGCTAACAATTAAAATAGAAAATCGCAATTGGCAGACTTTGCTGCCTAGTCCAAAGGACAAAGTATAGGTAGGGATTTACCCCAAAGTTGTCCGTAATGATCTTGTATAATGTGTGTCCATATTAAAACTGTATTTATTTATGTAGTACCGGAATCAAGACCTAAGTGCACTTCATATTGCGCTAACTAATGAAATATGAAAGCTAGAGGTATCTAACAATTTTATGTCCACAGCTATTTATTATGCATGTATACATTGTACCTGTATTATCAAGGCTAGGCCACGTACCAAGCGAAAAAGAATTATGCTGGATGAATGGTGGATGATGTAATTAAAATTACGGGTAGGTAATGGCAACAAAGGGAAACAACTTATACATAATTATGCAGCAGTGACTGGTATTAGGCTGAAATGAATCATGATTTCAGTTGTTATGGGTCAGGTGGGCAAACGAACAGACGGACCATGATCATCTGATGGCCAACAAATAAGGCCACCCGTGTTCAGTCGCAATGTCAGAACAGTTCAAGTGCGGTGTCGGCGTTTAGAGGTACGGAAAGAGTAGGGATAGTAAATATACAACGCACGCGTTGTTTCACGCCGATTGTCTTTGGAGCCGTGGTATCATCCCGGTAGAGCTGGCAGTATCGTACCGTATGGCTTTCCCAATCTTAAATATTCTTCATCAGAATAATGCCTGTAAAATCAACGACGGTCTTGCGAAAATGTATACCTATAATTTTAAGTGATGACTTTATTTGTTCAGTAGGTGTGACATAAAAGCACGGAATCTTCGTTACATTCTAGGCCAGTTAAGTACCCGAGCGTACGGCGCGTCGCGTTCCGCGCGCGCCTCAAAGAGCCATCAGACCACCACAGATGGGGCCCAATACGGCCGATGCCGATTCGGAGTCGCGGAGAACCTAACGGGTAACCGGGGCTCCGACTCGACGTGCAGGAGAAGGAACGGGGTGGTTTTTAGTCAGTTAGAGTCTGACACTCCCTCCCGCCTCACCCAGGCGGGAGCAGCCATTCGATGATTTTCCCCCCTTAAAAAAAAGCCAGTTAAGTATAGATAAAATATTATCTTTCTTAGAAATAGGTAACTACAGGTCGCTACTTCAGCGTCGCGTCTATCGTCACTAGTTAATAATAGAGTACCTATTTTAACAACTTGTTGCTGGAATTACATAACACCAAGAAAAAATATAGGTCCTACGTTTATAATTAGCTCCATTGATCTAAATAATTCAGCATATAACTACAGAAATAGTGTTTAGAAAAGTACATCATCATCATCATCAGGTCCACTGCGCAGCTGGACAAAGACTGACGACTAACGAAAAGCTTCCCGAACGCTGCCCTTCGGGCGACCTCTTTATCGATCACAGTTTGACCTACCTAGCTGAATGATCTGTTTGAAGTATTTGTAGTACTGTACAACTTGGTGGATATCGTTCCCAACGAAGATTGCAACACCAAAAACAACACACCTGCGGGTAAAACATGGACTTTTTTGTCTGATATTTCTGTCTCTACCACTATTAGTTAAGGCTATAATGGCAGAGACAGAAAATTGAAGGAAAGTGGATTCATTTTGTGAGACAGCAATGTCACAAAGGGAGGCTGTTGAGCGAGATTGCGAGAGGACCGATCCTCATCGTACAAGAAGTCGAGAAGGACGGCCTGGACGCCTAACAAGTTGAAATTGGGGCCACCTTTGGGGCCAGGGGTGCGCTGAGGGGGGACTCTAGGCGGGCACCTAAAGTTGTCTTGGGTGGGTAGGCGCACAGTGGCTTAAGAGAAGGTCAAGGAAGGCAGGTCTGTTAGAGGACCCGGTGTCTATGAGTGCTAAGTGTGGACACGGGGGGGGGGGGGCACGGGTGAGGCACAAATCTAAAACTAATACATACCTAAGTCTATAGGTAATACTTGTTGATTTAGATGATGCATGGATTATTACTTCAATTTTCGGGTCAACATATACCTAGGCTATACATATTATCACGCTATTACTGTAAATTACTATTCCACGCGGACGAAGTCACGGGCACAGCTAGTAGGTAATAGGTATGATACAATTATTTTTAGCCAATGATATTATTTTATTTTTGTTAAACAGATTTTTGGCTGCAATCATACTGGAAGTGTGATTATCTTTGTAAACCACAATGATTTGATATTAACTTGTTGTAATGTAAAGTTCTTCTAAAAATTAACGGAAGATTTACGTACAAGTTTGCATAGGTACAAGACAAATGTATCGGATTATTAGAAAGCCGCCGGTAACGTGGTTTTTCACCATCATCATCTGTTCATGACAATGACAGTCCACTGTTGGACTACTGTTGTCTCCTCTCCGTAAGAGGGATTTACCTATATAATGTTAGAGGGTTTTGCTCGATGTTTGTATGTAAATATATTTGTCTGTTTTTAATGAGCTACTAATTTTATCGAGCGTCAACAGGTTTAACTGAAAGTACGTGGTAGATACACGGATCTACCTACTTTCTATTTGATACAGCGTCTAGCTAATTATTTACTTCATGTATGTGTGAACAGAGGGACCAAACTCCTGTCTACTAAATATCTGTATTCATAAAACCTTCTTTGTTAGGATACTTTCCGAGATCTGGCTGCTCGGGTGTGAGAACTGAGGGCGCACATGTTATGAGTTGTAATTTTTAGCATATTTATTTACAAACAAATTCCCGGATCGTTCTTCAATTGTTTTTAGACTACCACTAAATACTTTTTTTTTTTAAGTGGGGAAAATCATTGAATGACTGCTCTCGCCTCGGTGAGGCGGAAGGGAGTGTCAGACTCTTACCTACTGACTAAAAACCACCCCGTTCCTTCTCCTGCACCTCGGAGCCCCGGTTACCCGTTAGGTTCTCCGCGACTCCGAATACCACTAAATCC